TTTATATGCATATTACCAAAATTGTATTAGTCGCAGAAAAAAAAATTCCACACGAAGTGGCGAAATCACGCAGTCCGTGATGGACAAATCATTAACGGCTGGTCTGTGTGGTAATCTAGTACATTGAGCAGGACATCCATATGCTCACCTAACATTCATCGACCTCAATTATGGCTTATCATCTGAAATATGTAGTAGCAACTTAACATGGCAGCTCAATCTAATGTTAGCCTAGAAAAAAGTGCGCTGTTTATGTGTTTGTGCAAGTGCGATCATTTGCTCTTAAAATACTTCGTCATTTTTGGTCATACAGATAAGAGTAATGCATCTTTTGTATCTGTAAAGACTCTATGTTTATTCTTGTGTATAACAACGAAATGTTGCGCTTTTGTAAAATAATTAAAGCAAACAGGATGCGGTTTCTGCCGTCTCGGACTCTGTGAACTTGAGCGCGTCACTTCGAAACTCCGTGTATTCTTGCCTTAGCCCATTACAGACATGAAAAATATATCTATAGAGAGTGAAACTTTTAAATGATAAAAAGGTATCAGCTTTGGCTTGGAGGTTATCCCAACTCCAAATTTTTGATTATATCCTTAAATAGCTGTTCTCGCGTCCAGTTTGGTTTTCTTTTATGTTTGCATGTCTTACTATCAGCCATGTTTATTCTACTTTGTTAATTAAAAGGCTGTTTATATGCATATTAGGGCTGCCCCCTAATAGTCGACTAACCGTTAGTCGATGAGAAGAGGCTTGGTTGACCAAAATTGTATTAGTCGCAGAAAAAAAAATTCCACACGAAGTGGCGAAATCACGCAGTCCGTGATGGACAAATCATTAACGGCTGGTCTGTGTGGTAATCTAGTACATTGAGCAGGACATCCATATGCTCACCTAACATTCATCGACCTCAATTATGGCTTATCATCTGAAATATGTAGTAGCAACTTAACATGGCAGCTCAATCTAATGTTAGCCTAGAAAAAAGTGCGCTGTTTATGTGTTTGTGCAGAGTGTGGAAGCTGAACAGCGTGCTTGGGCTACTGCATGACAGATGGAGGCGCCAGTGCGATCATTTGCTCTTAAAATACTTCGTCATTTTTGGTCATACAGATAAGAGTAATGCATCTTTTGTATCTGTAAAGACTCTACGTTTATTCAGTGTCGCAGACTTCATCTCTTAAACCGAAAGCAGAAAGCACTACACTGTAAAAAAAATTCTGTAGTTTTTACAAAATAATTTTGGCAGCTGTGGTTGCCAGAATAATTTTGTAAAAAATACAGAAAAACTGTAAACACATTTACGGCCAAAAACGGTAAATTTTACAGTATAAAACTGTAATTTACAAACAAGAAAATTTGAATGTAAACCAGTAAATTCAACAATGCACACTGCTATTAAAATCTGTTTTGTACATACTGACAACCACCATAATAATGCAGGTGGTAAAAGAGAAAGCCACATGAAGAATCTTTAGTCGAGGGCAGCCCTATTGCATATTGACTAATTGTTTACGAAAAGCATACATATAAGAGGCTGACAATTAGCTGAATATAGCCTACTTGTTTAATTAGTGACACTTAGCCTGCATTTTAAAATCTTTATTTGAATGTGGCAATTAACATTTTTATTTTAAAACCCTTATTTGATTATGGCAACATAATATTGCGCTCTACAATATTTCTATGAATACATCTCTGACAGAGACTATCAGCCAATCACTGTGTGCAGTTATTAAGTATGCTGACATCATCCATAGCAACGAGGTCAACCCCGCCCTTACTCTTAGCTTAAGACTTCTCTCTATTCCTTAGTAAAAGTTTGTCTCAGCAGCTTTGTGAATAGGTTTTAAGAGAAAACTCTTAGCTAAAAACTTTTACTGCTATTTAGGAGAACTCTTAGTGGTAAGATAAAATGTTTCGTGAATACGGGCCTAGGTTAGCACATTTAGCGAGTTTAT